ACACGCAGACACACACACATAAAATAAATTTAAAAAATAAACAAAAAACCCTCAACAGGTCAAGAGAGCAATCTCAGCCCTAGAGTAGCTGCGTGGGGGTTAACCTTTACTTTTGTGTTCACCTCTCTCTACTGCCCTGTGAGTCTCCGTATACAGAAAGCTGCTTTGTAACTGTCCTCCCAAAGCTGGTGGTGGTGGTGCACGCTTTTAATCCCAGCACTCAGGAAACAGAGGACGGCAGATCTCTGAGTTTGAGGCCAGCCTGGTCTACAGAGTGAGTTCCAGGACAGCCACAGCTGCACAGAGAAACCCTGTCTCACAAAACAACAACCACAAAACCAAACCAAAGAAAATCTGTTCCCCTACAGTCATCTCCCAGAAACAAGAGTAAGGGCCATCCACCAGCCGTGAACACAGGATAACACACCTAACTTAGTCAAACCCAGTAATTGCTAATATTAAGTATAGCTAGATTTGACTTAAGAGGATCCACTAGCTCTAAGAGGGAGTGCTTAGCAGTAGAGTGCATTTTCAGTACGTGCAAAGCCCTGGGTTCCACCCTGAACGCCACACACATGGACACACACATGCACAGCTCCCCTAAATAAAAATCTTAGTTTCCTAAATAAGAAAAATTAGGAGGTCTGTTGCTTTAAGCAATAGAGTGTTGACTTTTTGGAAGGATCTTCCACTAAGCCCTCTTCAAAACAGAACGTGCTTCTAAAGTACTGAGCTTAATAAAGAAATTATATAATCAGATCTTTAGTGACACCAATTTTAGACCAAACTGAGGTATAATCTACCAAGAGTTGTTTTGACTTATTTCTCAAAAACAAAGAAACAAAATACCATCCAAAGGCAAATTTTAAAACTCAGACTTTTTTATAGATGTAACACACAAGCAATATTTTCCATACAGTTTAAATTCGTGGTAAGAAAAATCCTATAAAACTAAGACTGCTAAAGACTATCCAGGATCTGTGGTTAGCACAGAGGTATATATACATTTTTGGATTACCAGTATCCTCTCAATATCTATCCATTTTTGAGTTAATGCAAACATGAAGTTAATTTCTGAATAAGTTTTACTCTAATCCAGAGGTTCTCAACCCATGGATCACAACTCCCTTGATGGTCAAATATCAGATATCCTGCATTATCAGATATTTACATTATGATTCATAACAGTGGCAAAATTACGGTTATGAAATAGCAACTGAATAACTTTAGAATTGGGGGTCACCAAAACATGCGGAATTGTATTAAAGAGGCTCAGCATTAGGAAGGTTGCGAGCCACTGCTAATCTATAGACAATCGTGATCAAGCAGCCAATAATTGGTGACAGGAGTCCTGAGCACAACACATGCAGAAAGTACACATTGAGAGTAGTTAATGTGTGGCCTCCTCACGTACAGAACACTGCGCTTTCTTTCCACCCTATTACTGTACTTCTGGATGGAAAAGCAGCATTAGCCATCCAGCCTACCTGGCCCAGGTGGAAAAGGAATCCATGCCACAGAGATAATTAAACAGCAGTGCAAAGGGGAAAGCAGCCCCCTGATAAAGCGATACCGGATGGAGGAAGAAGAGCCGGAGCCAATCCATGATGAGCCCAGAACACACTGTCCTTCCTGGAGTTCTTCGCTGGTGCCCTCCTGCAAGGGAAGTCACAGCCAGGCTCTCCCTGGCCTTTTTAGGTGGTGTAGAAAGGCCTGCGGGAGCAGAATGAAGTGGAAGCTCTGGAGATAAGCCGTGTAAAGATTGGCTTCCTGATACAGGGGCCGAGCTATGGAAACCAGTTCATGCTGTGGTGTTCTCTCACCTCACAGTGTTTACTGAAAAATCGCTCTCAGAGGCAACATGGCACATTATTTGCCTTTCCATCCATCACACTGTCATATATTTTCTCCACTAAGTCAACGAAAAGAAAAAAAAAATCTATTGTTGTGAACAAAGAGCCCTGGACTAACGACAAAAGGAAGGCAGATCCAAGAGACAAAAAACAAGATTTCTCTTCTCCACTACCTCTCTTACAGTGCCCTTTCTACCATAGCACACACACACACACCACATCATGTACCTATTTTTTTAAGGATTTATTTATTTATGTATATGGATGCTCTATCTGCATGCATGCCCATACTCCAGAACAGGGCACCAGATCTCATTATAGATGGTTGTGAGCTGCCATGTGGTTGCTGGGAATTGAACTCAGGAACTCTGGAAGAGCAGCCTTTAACCACTGAGCTACCTCTCTAGCCCCATGTACATATTTCTTGATTAGTTTATTTTCTGCCCTTCATAAGCAAATCAAGAGTTCAGCAAGGGGCAGGACCCTGTTTCATTTATTGCAATATTTCCAGCACACAGAATAGGGATACAAACCTATTTTGTATTCATTAAACATTTATTGAAGTTAAGGTTTGGAGGACAAAAAAAGTGTGGAGAGGAAATATTTAAAGAGAGTCTTTGAGGGATGGGTAATGCTGAGGAGACGTCCTCAAAGCCAGACAAGAGTGAGAAGCCATCTCTCAGCTAGTGGAGACCTGTCTACTTAGCCTAGGACATTGCCAGGCTGTCGCCACCCAGCTCAACACGTTTGTGGAGGGAGTTATCAGCCATGCATCCGACACTCTGGTACTGAAGAAAGATCGAAAAGCATTCAGGGTCTTATTCTCATGGATTTCAGCTCCAGTGGAGACAGTTGTCTTAGTGAGGCTTTCTATTGCTGTGAAGAGACACCATGACCACGGCAACTCTTATAAAGAAAACACATTTAATTGGGGCTGGTTTACAGTTCAGAGGTTTAGTCCATTATCGTCATGGTGGGACATGGTGGCATGCAGGCAGGCATGGTGCTGGGGAAGGAGCTGAGAGTCCTACATCTTGCAGGCAACAGGAAGCAGACTATCTCACTGGGGATGGCTTGAACATATATGAGACCTCAAAGCCTGCCTCCACAGTGACACATTTCCTCCAACAAGACAAGGCCACACCTCCTTTGGGGAGCTATTTTCTTTCAAACAGCCACAACAGTAAAAGAAATAAACTCAGCCTAAAAAAATAATCAGAACAGAAGGGTGCCGCTGTTTTGTTACATGATGCTGTGTTCTGAATGTCTGTATCCCCTCCTTAAAGCCTCATCCTCAAGGTGATGGCATTAAGAGATGAGGCTTTGGGGACTGGATGAGGAATTCTGTGTAGGATTAGGGGTCTTATTGAAGGGCTTGACAGAACTTATTTCCACCCCATAAGGATGCAGACAGGTACTGTCTAAAAACTACAATGCCCTTGTTTCAAACTTCCCAGCCTCCGGAAGTATGAACAATACATTTCTATTATTTAGTCCCCACACGATGCCACATAAAAATGTGCTAGAGCCAGAGAGATCTGAGAACTTCACCTTTACCTCAGCACAGCTGTGCCAGCCATTCACTCCACAAGTATTCTTTTTATCGCTCATTTTCTATGATTTGACTTCCATTGTTGCGTATGTGGCTCATGATGTTTTTGCCCTTGTTTGTATTTTGTTCAGTTAGGTCTTAGGACCGCTGCTTATGTCTCTCCATTGTATTTACTACAACACATTCTTAAAAAAAAATATTTATTTTTATGTGTGTGCGCACGCACATGTGCATGACTTGTATGCCACGTCTGTGGGGGGAGGGTACCCATGGAGGCCAGAAGACTGCACCAGATCCCCTGGAGCTGGAGTACAGGCATCTGTGAGCCACCTATCATGGGTGCTGGGAAGCGAACTCACTACCTCTGGAAGAGCAGCAATCAGTCTTAGCCATTCTCCAGGGCCTATTGCACATTCTTTGCTATACTCTTAAGCCATATCTCATAAAACCCCTCTTCTTTCTCAGCCTTATCTTCTCCTCCTTTTACTTTTTCTTTTTTTTTTTTTTTTTTTTTGGAGCTGAGGATCGAACCCAGGGCCTTTAGGCAAGCACTCTACCACTGAGCTAATTCCCCAACTCCTCCTTTTACCTTTTTTTAAGAAAATATTTATTTATGTAAATGAGTGCTCTATTTGTATGTGTGCCTGTATGACCAAGAGGGTATCAAATCCCATTACAGATGGTTCTGAGCCACCCTGTAGTTGCTGGGGGGAAGGGAGGGGCGATGATCCCATCCGCGGACAGCAGCTTGGACTTCCAAATGAAAAGTCACAGCTTGATCTACAGGTTTTGACCTTGCACCGCAGGTCCGTAACAATTCCTTGCAAAATCCTCGTGATTCATATCTCCGGCCGGTTCTGTTTCTCAGAATGAATCCTGACTATGCCATCTGGGACTTAAAGGATTAGAACAGTGTTTCTCAACCTCTGGGTTACGACCCCTTTGGGAGGTCGAATGACAGGGGTCACCTAAGACCATGGGAAAACACAGATATTTACAATGCAATTCATAACAGTAGCAAAATCACAGTTATGAGGTAGCAACGAAAATAACTTTATGGTTGGGCTGGGGGGGTGGGGTCACCACCTCATGAGGAACTGCATTAAAAGGTCGCAGCATTAGGAGGGTTGAGAACCATTGGATTAGAAGATGCCAGAGGTGTGGGGGAAGAGCAGTCGCTAGGGGTTTCTTCAAAGTGTGAGAAAGAGCATGAGATGACCGTGTCTCAAAAAAAAAAAAAAAAAAAGAGCCAAGTACATACATACATACATACATACATACATGGAATGCGAGATTTAAAAACTGGATTTGATGTTCAAAACATTTCGACAAGAAAAGCCCCTGACTAGGACTTGGGCACGTGATTCTAGAGGCTAAAGGTAGAGCGAGCTAACAATAAAGGACTGGGCAGCGGGGGTTAGATCAGACGTGGTGGAGTCAACACCGCCAAGTGGAGGAACGATCTGGGGACACCGGCCCGCAGGCTCTGCAGTGCGGAAAGCAAAGGGGGGCGGGGCGGGGGCGGGGCGGGGGGCGGGGCGGGAAGAAGCAAACCATCCGCGGCGCGCAAGCGCGAGCCTGCGGTTCTCTCTCAGGCCCCGCCCCTCCCGGCCCAGCCAGGCTCCGCAATTGGATGTCGAGATCATCGCTCCAGCCAGGCAAACCGGGTCGATCTCGCGTCTTCCGGAGACCCGGGCCTGACGATGGCGGAGAAAACTCAAAAGAGGTGCGTGCGCTGCTCGGCCGAAGCCGGCTCTCACTCCCCCGAAGGGGCGGGACCTGCTTCGGGTCGCAGTGAGGGGGACTGGGACGGCGTTTAGGTGTACGGTTCCGGAAGGCCACGCCCGGCGTCCTCCGGGGTGGGGGCGGGGAGGGTTTGTGCCTTGACACCCCCGGCCCCCCAACCGCAGTACGCCTGTGCAGACTCTCCGACGGGGCTCCCGGGGACTCTGCCCCGTCAGCCCTGCCTCTTGTCCGGATGAGGAAGGCCTGGAAGAAGTCACCCTCTGCCGGGTGACTGAGAGCCGGGGCCCGGCAGCTGCGGCCGCTTCTGTCACCGTCTTCACAGATGGGGACTGTCGCGGTAGGAAGAGTCTGCAGGGTTGGCATAAAAAGCATACAGAACCGTTTGCAACAGCAGCAGTGTTGAGCACCCTCTGTGTCAGACATTTTTGTAGTTTTTTTAAAGCGACCCCCCCCCCCCCTCACTCTTTTTCCTGAGACAGGTTCGCAGTATGTAGCCCTAGCTTTTTTTGGAACTCTCTTTGTAAACCAGGCTGTCCTTGAACTCACAGGGATTCGTTTGGCTCTGCCTCCTTTGTGTTGCGATTTAATATCTTGAGCCAAACTAGGCCGAGATTTATTCCTTCCTTCCTTGCTTATTTCCTTCCTTTTTAGAGTTATGTGTATGTGCTTGTGTCTGTGTGCAGGTATGTGCATGTGAGTGCGTGCGTCCCTAAGACCAGAAGAGGGTGTGGGAATATCCCTGAAGCTGGAGTTACAGGAGGTTGTCAGCTGTCTGACGTGGATGCTGAAAGCCAAACTCTGGTCGTCTGGAAGGGCAGCAGTTGCTCTTAACTAAAGTCTGAGCCCTCTCTCCAACTCTTCTGCCGACTTAACAAAACCCTTGTTGTACCCAGTGCCATAAACTAAAATTTAACTTTTTCTTCGATTTGTGCAGGCAATCTGTCACCTTTTTCATAAGCTGAAGAGAAACCGATCTGCTTGCTATAAGCATCACTTGCACAACAGTATACATACACACAGCCTTCAGAGGGCGAGAGTCTGGCTTGTCATTTGCTAGGTCTGAATCCCCATCTCCTAGCTGCCTGCTTCCCACTGTGTCCCCCCGACCCTTACAAGGTGCATCTCCATGGAGAGATGTTAGTAGACATGTTTCCTACTATAAACCAGTTGATCTCATAATAAATTTATTAATAATTATGTCCTGCCTCCCAGAGAAATGTTTTGATTGGCATAAGCAGTACTTGGGGTTTCTCTTTAGGGTATTAAGTAGGGCTGTGGTCATTTGAATGGAATTGGCCCCCATAATCCCATAATCTCATAATTTTATAGAGAGTGGCCCTATTAGAAGGTGAGGCTTTGCTGAAGTGGGTATGGCCTTGTTAGAGGAAATGTGTCACTGTGGGGGCGGGCTTTGAGGTTTCATATACTCAGGATACTGCTGAGTGTATCAGTTGTTTTCCTGTTGCCTGAAAGATGTAGCAGTCTCAGCTCTAGCAACACCTCTGCCTGCATGCTGCCATGCTCTCCACCATGATGATAACTGACTGAAACTCTGAAATTGTAAGGGAGCCCCTCAATTAAATGTCTTTAAGAGTTGCCATGGTGATGGTGTCTCTTCACAGAAATAAAAACCCAAACTAAGACAAGGTTTAGAATCTTAGAATCTCTTCTTCCCTTAGCTGCTCATTATGCTTACTGCATGAGAGTAAGCATTATTTACTTACTTGAAGGCGTCAAGTCGTGGGACAGGAAATGAGAGAGTTTATGGAAGCTAGGCATGTATCAAATAACTTCAATACCAGCTCTTGGGAGGCAGGGGCAGGATCTCTGAATATGAAGCCAGCCTGGTCCACATAGCAAGTTCTGGGCCAACCAGGGCTTCATAGTGAAACCCTGGGGGATGAGGGAGGCGATGATTATTGTAATGAGTCTTTCTCTGTCCTGCTAGTCAGCTCCCAGATCACAACATGGAGACTTATTAAGGCTCAGCCGATTGCTTAGGCTTGTTTCTAACTAGCTTTTATAACATAAACTAACCCATTTCTATTAATTTGCTTTCTGTCTCCTGTCTTTATTACCTTTACTTTGTAATGCCCATGTTGCTTGTTCTGGTCTCCTCTTGTCTCTGCTTTCTTCTTCCCAGAGTACTCTCTGCCCTGAAAATCCTGCCTAGCTACTAGCCATTCAGCTTTTTTTTTTTTTAAACCAATCCAAGTAACAAATCTGCACAGTGTACAGAACGATTATTCTACCCCATGTTATAAACTAGCTTATTTGACCAGAGCTTTAAGCAATGCTGTATTTTAACACCAAAGCCACTTTCAATGAAAAGCATCTAACATAGGACACTGAAAAGTGGTGATGGGGTGGCGGTGGCACACACCTTTAATCCCAGCACTCAGGAGGCAGAGGCAGGTGAATTTACAGATCTGAGTTGGAGGCCAGCCTGGTCTACATAGTGAGTGTCCATGCAGCCAGGGCTGCATTGAGACCCTGTCTCAAAAACAAAACAAAAACCAAAACAACAACAACAACAAAAAACCCAAACAAACAAAAAAACCACTACCAACAACAAAAAAACCCAAACCAAATAATAAATGGATAATGATAGGCCGCCCACAGAGAGTCGTTCAGTTATCACAGGACAAAGTCTAGAGAGGCAAGGGCAGCCTTCAGCTAACGGCTGAGAATACAGATTGACAGAACAATGATGCCCCAGAAGTGAGCTTTGCTTCAAGGAATTTCTGGTATGCATTTCCATCTATAAGAATTCTAGGGTTAATGTCCTGATTAGTTTTCCTCACCTGGGAAGAAGGAACCCCAATTGAAGGGTTGCTGGGATCAGAATTGTTCTTGTACGTGAGAGAGGGTCTTGATTGATATGGGAGGCCCCGGCCCACTGGGGGCAGTACCATCTGTGATCAGGCAGGCCTGTGCTGTTTAAGAAAGGACTAGAAAGTGATCCAGTTAGCAGCCTTCCTCCTGGTTTCTGCTTCACACTCCTGCCTGCATCCCAGCCCTGACTTCCCTGGATGGATTGTGACCAGGAAGTGTAAGCCAAATAAACCCTTTCCTTCCCAGGATGCATTTGGTCACGGTCTTTATCACAGCAGCAGAAAAGCAAGATAGAACAGGTAGAATATGTGGTTTCTCTTCTCAAACCCGGTAGGAAAGTTATATGTTTGGATGATTTCAGCCGAGTAACTCTCGATCAGACTTGTGGTAACCCAGAAGGATTGCTGGTAGGATTGTTTGAGTTTATCTAAAGTCACTGTTGGCTTTAAAGAGGTCTGGCGCCTCCTCCTCCCCCTTCCTTTTATGTCTGTTGGTTTCTTTTGTTTATGAGACAAAATCTCACTGTGGAGCCCTAGCTGGCCTGGCCCGGCACACTATGTAGACCAGGCTAGCCTTGAAATCACAGTGATCTCAATGCCTCTGCCTCCCAGTGCTGGGATCATAATGCCCAGCCATTGTTTTCTTGAAACAGAGTCTCACTGTATCACTCACATTGGCTTCAAATTTGTGGCAATCGTCCTGCCTCAGCTAGGATTACAGATGTCCACCACTGTGCCCAGCTGATACGTTTTGTCATAATTGTGTTTTTTGCTTGTTTGTTTGTTTTGGGGTTTTTTGAGACAGGGTTTCTCTGTGTAGTTTCAGTGCCTGTCCTAGAGCTTGCTCTGTAGACCAGGCTGGCCTCGAACTTACAGAGTCTACCTGCCTCTGCTTCCTGAGTACTGGGATTAAAGGTGTGCACCACTGCCGCTCGGCCATTTTAATCATAATTTTTAAGAATATGTTCACTGAAATTTGTGTTAGAAAATTTGTGTCTTTTTTCAGTTTCTTGTATCAGTAGGGAAGTTGATGCAATTTTAAAAAATAAGTATTTTCAGTACCATTTTTGCATTATTTGAGAACATTTGGGCAATCCTGGAGCATAAATAATGGAGACACATGTTAAAGAAGAGTCCTATGCTGGTCTGACGACCAGAGAGACATCTTTAGGCCCTTTTCATGAGTTCCAGTCTGAGTCCTTCCAGTTGCTTTTTGACTATCACACACACACACACACACACACACCCCTCAGCTGCATTTGTATACTGTTTGAGTGAAGCCGATGACTGTATCTCCTGTCAAGGTCGTTAACAATATGTCTCCATGCAGGCAGCCAGTATCCATTCCTGTCTACCAATCCCAGAGATATCACAGAGCTGTGTCCAAAAAAAAAATTGCACAGTGTTCTTTTTCTTACAGTCTGTTTTTATTTTAAAAAAAAAAAAAAGGCTTGAAACACAAGTAGAAAATAGCATTAATCTTTTGTGTTATCTGCATAAATATACGCATGAATAATAGAACTTCACCAAAAAAGGTGAATTGATGTAAGCAGACCATTGCAATTTGGATTTCCCCTCTGACTTGCTGCAGAACCTATGTGCTGAAATGGGAGCACCACTTCTGGGCGTCTGCAGAGCCAGCTCTGCTGTGTCCACCTGCAAAGCTTCCACTGTTTGACTTCCCAGGGTCCTCACACTCTGCTAGAACATGAAACTCCAGGCTTAAGAGAGTTTCCAGGGCCCATGGCTTATGGAACTAAACTTATTTCCTCCACCACTGGGAATAAGGCGAAGAGGCGTGGTCTCCTGGCTCCTGTTTGGTAGTGGTCAGCCCCGTAAGCCAGAGCCAGAGTCATTTTATACATGGCTGACTATCCAAAAGCACCAGTAGGTTACGTGGAAATTGTCTTTAAGACTAAAACTTAGTCTTTAAACAGCTTGTACTATAATTTTTATTATTTGGTAGGTAGCTTTAAAACATATATTTGCTGTTAGAGATTAAAGAGAAGTATTTGCTAATTTGCATTTCTGACCTGTCACTTTGCTGTCTATTAAATAGAATGTACACCACCACCACCCCATTTACAAAAAGAATGGCATATTACATACTGCCAATTTGAGGGGCTCTGCCGTTTTCCTTGACCAGGTAGTCCGGAAGTCATCCCAAACCCTGTTCTTTCCCTCATGTCTGCCCCCTCCGTTTCCCTCCCTCCTTTCTCTTCCTTCTTTCTTCCTTTTCCTCCCTCCCTCCCTCACTTCCTCCCTTCCTTCTTTTCTTCCTCTGTGTAGCTCAGGCTGGCTTTGAATTTACAATCCTCCCGCCTTGTTCTCCCCACTGCTGGGATTACAGGCGGGTCCTACCGTGTCAAAACCTTTACATAAGGGATTGCTCTTTTGACCACTGCCTATTAGTTCATGCCATAGCTTCTTAACTAGCCCTTGTTGGTAGACACCTGGCGGGGAGGGGTGCAGTTAGCTTCTTAACCAGCCCCCCATTGATGGACACCTGGGGGGGCGAGGTTAGCTTCTTGTTAAGACACAATGCCGATCTTAAATTCAAAGAAAAGATCCAAAGCTGTTTGCTTAAGTGTTTAAAAGTATATGTGATTTTGGCCTACTGGACTATGTGCTGCTTGAGAAGCCCATAATATATTAAACCCTCTTAACATTGAGTTCCCATTTTTTCTATGAATTTTTTAAACCTTTTTCTTAACTACAGTCAACATCGCTTCATTAAAAACATTATTATTATTTTTTAGCAGTTTGAATGACACTGTCCTCTGTAAGCCCATGTGTTTGAATACTTGGTCCCCTGTTGGTGGTACATTTAGGAAGGTTTCGGAGGTGTGGCCTCGTAGGAGAAAGTTGGGTTTTTTTACTCTTTGGTATACCACCACTCAGCTCCCATATAAATATAAAGAGATTTATTCTTACTTATGAATGCCAGCCTTAGCTTGGCTTGTTTCTAGTCAGCTTTTCTAACTTAAATTATCCTGTTTCTCTTTAACTACATTTTGCCTCTGGGCTTTTTACCTTTCTTTGTTCTATGTATCTTTCTTTCCCTCTTACTCCGTGGCTGGCTGGCTGGCTGGGTGGCTGAATGGCTGGCCCCTGGCGTCCTCCTCTCCTCCTTTTCTCACCCCTCACTCTTCCCTAGATTTCTCTTCCTATTTATTCTCTCTGCCTGCCAGCCCCACCAATCCCCTCTCCTGCCTTGCTAATGGCCGTTCAGCTCATTATTTGATCATGCTGGTGTTTTAGACAGGCACAGTATCACAGCTTTACAGAGTTAAACAAGTGCAACATGAAAGAATGCAGCACATCTTTGCATCATTAAACAAATGTTCCACAGCATAAACGAATGTAACAGATCTTAAGCTAATACTCCACACCAGCTGGAGGGCTTTGAGAGTTCAAAGGCTCTTGACATTTCCAGTTGCTTGCATGTACTCAGTCTCTGTCTGTCTGTCTCTTGTCTGTGGTGAACCAAGCGCTCACACTTGGTTCAAGGTGTGATGTCTCGGCTTCCTGTTTTGCTGCCTCTGCTGCCTGACTCTCCGCCGTGATGGACTCTTTTTTGGTTTGTTAATTTTGAGACAGGGTTTCTCCATGTAGCCCTGGTTGTCCTCGAACTCGCTCTGTAGACCAGGCTGGCCTCGAAATCACAGAAATCCACCTGCCTCTGCCTCCCAAGTGCTGGGATTAAAAGCATGCACCACCGCCACCTAGCAGGTTTATTTATTTTTATTTTATGTGCATTGGTGTTTTGCCTGCATGTATGTCTGTGCAGATGCCAGAGCCCCTGGCAGCTACAGACCGTTGTGAGCTGCCATGTGGGTGCTCTGGAAGAGTAATCAGTGCTCTTAACCACCGAGCCATCTCTCCCCTCCACCCCCCACCCCATGATGGACTCTTAGCCAAAATAAATTTTTTTCTTCCACAAATTCCTGTGATCAAGGTGTTCATTTCTACAACAGAAAAGTAATCAGTACATATTTATTTGTTTATTTTCTATTGTGAGTGTTTACATGTATGGGGCTATACGCATGCAATAGTGTGCATGTGGAGGTCAGGGGACAACTTACGGGGAGTTGGCTCTCTCCTTCCACCACGTGGGACCCAGGGATTGAACTCAGGTCATCAGGCTGGGCAGTAAGTTCCTTAATCAGCTCCGTACCCCACTGAGCCGTCCTGCTGGCCCCAACACACCTTCCGTAACAATCCATTTTAAATTTTCATTTTCTTAACTTGGGTTCCCAGACTCGAACTCAGGTGGCCAGGCTTGCACACAGTCAATGGAGCTGTCTCGTCAGCCTGCGCCAATGTGAACCTTACCCGGTGTGACTGTCCCTTTGTCTTCTGCAGTGTGAAGATCGCCCCTGGAGCCGTGGTGTGTGTGGAGAGTGAGATCAGAGGCGATGTGACCATAGGTAAGAAAATGATCAGTGTTGCTTCTCAAGACCTGACGTGACCATAGGTAAGAAAATGATCAGTGTTGCTTCTCAAGACCTGATGTGGTCTGTGCCGTGGATTTTAGTGCTTCACCTCTAAGTCCTGTCTCCTCGGTCTGTTTTTAAAGGTTTTGTTTGTTTGTTTGTTTTCCTGTTAAGTGTTTAAGTGTGATGGAGGCCGTGTTTGAATTTCTGTGTGAAACACGAGTGAGTGAGTGTGGCTCAGACACTGCTTGATTTGAGAGAGAGTTCTAGTTCACCTTGGATATACCAAGCACTGCCGGCCCCAGAGCCATAGCAGCGAGGCGAACAAAGAACTTGCCTTTGTGGACCTTGCACCTCTACCAGCGTGTACCCTGGAGTCCACAGGTCCAGGGTCACCTGCCATTCCTGTGGGTCACCTTGGACATGTTACTCAGCCTCTCTGCCCTCCTAAGTCTTGCCCATCTGTGGAACTGTACATAGCCACGTCAGGTTCAGTGGCATGGCTTACGGGTGGCTTAAACATGCAGAGGTTCAGTGACGCATATAGGAAGTTGGGGGTCATTGATTGTTCAGCCCGAAGTTCTGACCTTACGGCCCAAGGAGGGAGGCTGTGAACAAGGGTCCCTGTGTTCCCTGAGTTCTGTCCGTTTAAAGGGCCTTCCCGTAAGTTCCACACAACCATTCTCCCGCTATCTCGAGGCTAGGACGTGGATGCAGCATGGGCTGCACTGTCCCCTAATGAAGTCAGGTCCTACTGCAAGAAGAGGAGAGTGATACCAGATGGCAGTTAGTGGTTCCGTCACATGCAGAACAGGAATGGGGTGAAAGCTCAGAAAGTTTGCTGTTCGTACTGCTGACTCTCACAGTACAGCCTTGCCAGGAGTCAGAGCCATCGCCCAGATCAAGCCAGCCCAGCATGTGGCAGGTAACTTGCATGCATGGCTGAGCCCCCAGTGCCACATCTACGACCCAGTTCTTTTTGTAAAATCTGTTTCCCAGACCCTGGGCCCTTGAAACGCTCATCCTTAGCCACAGCTTATGCCACCCACACTGTCACAGTGGCATTCCTGTTCCCACACAAACCTTGGTTTGGTTTGGTTTTCAGTCTCACTGTGTAGTCCTGGCTGGCCTCGAACTCAACAGAGGTCCACCTGCCTCTGCTTCTGAGTATGGGATTAAAGACTTGCCTCACCAGGCCTGACAATAGTTTCTTTAATGGGCAAAAATGTCATTTTCCCTTCTAATAAGTTGAAGCCCCCAGGCAGTTTTTGTGTCCTGTCTTATGACTCCAGTGAAGACCATGCCACTGTTGTGGGACTTGGTTTAAAACGTGACCTGTTGACTGATTCTAAGCCGACAGAATTTGGAAGATCACTCTGTCTCTTCTCAGTTCTCTTAACTTTCTGTCTCCAGCCAAACTTCCTATGAGGAGAAAGTATGAGCCGGGACCCACTGAGATGCTCATCCATGTTTTCACTCCCCGCCAGCTACAGTGTCTGTGGCTCCCCTCATGACTCAGCAAGGTGTTCTGTAATTAGAAGAAAAGTCAGACTGAAGTCATGTGTGCAGTCAGCTGTGGAAAACATCCCTTGCATTTCTAATTCCTTCCCATTTTAAATAATCAGCTTATGATAGTACTATATAATACATAAATAGATTGGATAGATCTATCCAGAGGATGAACACAGATGGAACTTCCAGAACAAGAAGAGGAAAGGATGGAGGTGAGACTCATAGTTTAAGAAGGGATTCAGTCCATCGCAGCCTGTCACAGCTGAGAAGGCCTGAGGGTGAGAGCCGCTGCCTTGCTTTATCCCCACTCAGGAGGCAGAGGATGGGAAGTGGAGCTGGGCTGTAAACTTAAAGATCCCACAGCCTTCTGGAACTACCGGCAGCTGACGGGACTTCCCACACTCAAAGCCAGTCTTGGCCCTGCCCAGGGTTGGGCGCCAGTCTGCACCCAGCACCGTCCCCTCTTGCTCCTATAGTTTTCACTGTTCGTGTCCCCACTTTCTACAAGCCCCCCTCGTCTTCCCACCTCCCCAGATGTTGGGGTTATGTAAGCAAAGACAGTGTTTGTGATTTTATATGTCTGTGTGTTTTTGTCTGTGTGTATGCATGCATGTGTACTGTATGTGCACAGTGCTAGCTGAGACCCCCTGGAACTGGAGATCCACATCTGGAGTTGTGAGCAGTCGTGTGTGTGCCGAGCCCCCAAAGACAGGGTTGAAATGTCCTTTCATCTGACATTTGGTCACTTGTTGATAGTATACATTTAGAATATTAAACATGTAAGACGGTCTGTCCTATAGATTTTTAGTAAGAGATAAGAAGTTTTGAGACAGTCTTGCTTTACCAGGCTGGCCTGAGCCCACAAGGATCCACCAGGATCCACCTCCTAAATGCTAGGATTAAAAGCATGTGCTATCACACCTGGCCTTAAGAAGTGGTTAAAAAGTAGTTTTATTAATCTTTTGAGAATGTTGTACATTGTATTTTGATCATGTTCATACCAACTCCCTCAGAAGTGATAAAAAAAAAATCTTTAAGGAAAAAAGCTAGAATGATTTGATGTTTATCAACAGTGAATTATTTTATGTATGTTATGCATGTGTGTATATTAACTACACACATATAGTGGTGCTTGTCATCAGACATGTTCTAAGCATGCACTGAATATGCTTACATTTATTTTAGAAACAATTCCGGTTGTTTTTGTTTGTTTGGTTGGTTGGTTTTGGTTTTTTGTTACTGTTGGTTTTGGTTTTTTTTGTTATTGTTTGTTTTGTTTTTTTGTTTTTTGAGACAGAGTTTCTCTGTGCAGCCGTGGAACTCACTCTGTAGACCAGGCTGGCCTCGAACTCACAGAGATCTGCCTGGCTCTGCCTCCTGAGTGCTGGGATTAAAGGCGTGTGCCACCACCGCCTAGCAAGCAGTTCTGTTTTTAAAGCAAGGAAAAGATGCAAAGAGTGATGTAGTCCATGGTATTATTGTGTCTCCCACAGTTTTATCTCACATTTGTTAGGATAGTTCTTCCTCCACCCGGTACTCAAGCTTCTGTTTCTTTAGTTGTGTGTAGGGGGTTTCCAGAGTTTGTGCTTAGATAACATTTCTGTCATTGTTACATTATCTCGTCTGTGGCGGCAGTTCACTGTTTTGAGATAACACCCCTGATTCAAACCCTCCTGAGAGACACAATTATAAAGTTGAACCGGAGCAGAGTTATCTGGTTCCAGCTCCCCCACCAGGTCTTGGTTTTCCTTTTCAAGCTTTTTGTTTTGTTTTGCTCAGGTTTCTGCTGAACTTGCTGTATATCCTTGCCCTTGTGCTGTGGAGTTGGCGGTTTGCGCACTTGATAAACTGCTTTCCAGAGAGCTCCAGAGCAGTAGACAGAAATGGGGTTCTGTTGCTCCATGTGTGGACTGTCCATCTTTTTACACCTTTACTAGTTTGGAGAGGGCAGGGTTTTTTGGTTTTTTTGGTTGTTTGGTTTTTGGGGTTTTGTTGTTGTTGTTTTTTGGTTTTTTGGGGTTTTTTTTCCCCCGGTTGGTTGGTTGTTTTTGCCATGTTTCAGGTTTTTGGCCCCTTAAACAGATCTGCAGTTTTCTAGAAATTCAGTTGTTTGCTCTATCAGTGAAATTGATTAAAATGTGAAGCAGGTGTGTGTACATCGGGTTGCCTACAGCACATTGTCTGGAAATGAGCAGGGAAGGGGGACAGCGTATGACAGGGAGGGGTGTTCAGGGGGTGGATCTCCGCAGTCTAGCCCTGTCCAGAGTGCTCTGGCTTACAGCGCTGGGGAAGCACCCCACCTCCTCACCCCCCACCCCCCGCCTTGGAGGGAGCTCAGAACTGAGAGTCCTGCTCATTTTCATAGCTAACATCATTTTCTGTAAATCCTCCGTTTGAGAGCTGACTAGCATGTGAGGAGGGCCCCAGTGGAGTCCTGTCCATGTGCTTGTGAGGGCGGACTCCTGCTGTGAGCATTAGAGGAGCAGACTGGGCACAGTGGGAAACTGTCCCACTTAGCCACTCTCCCCAGCGAGTGCACTCAGCCCCAAAGCCCTCCTGCAAAGCAGTGGTCAAGGGAGTTCATTTTCAAAAGAAAGAGCTGGGGTTTATTTTTAAATTATTTATTGATAGATGAAACTGTACCCAGAGATTGCTGTCTGTGGCAGAGGTGGCAAGCACCCTTTACCAAATGAGGGAAAAGGAGACATGGTGCAGGAATGTCTTCCTGGCCATGCTCCGGAAGCCCAGCCAGCCGTTTAGAAAAAGAATTCATCTGCCAGTTCAGGCAGCTCCGACTCCAGACACATTTGTCCAAACAAGGAGATAAGCCAAAGAGGCTTTCAGCACACTCAGTAGGGACACACACAGACTGCCCTGCCAGGAGGGGCGCCGAGAAGAAGGTCCACGCCAGAGTTAAATGGGCAAAGGGACTCCGCACCGTGACGGATTTTTTTTTTTTTTTGAAGCATATTAACTGCAAGATCCTTAAACATGGCTGTAAATCAGACCCATTCTAGGTAAAAGTTTTCCTGATCCACAGGAAAACCCAGAGGAGACTGCCTGCCTGCCAGCATGCTGTCCCTAAGGCTGCCAGGACCGCCAGACCCTCCGCTCTGCAGCCTCCTGCGTGAAACGGCAGACAGCTGTGCCTCCTTCCCGGTCTCCAAACCACACTCTTAGCTGTCACCTGTGCTTTGTGCTAGCGCACTCTCGGACTGTTCCGTTACTGCTGCCCCCGACAATTGCTTTCATCTCTGGATTCAAAGCAGACTGGTTCACCTCGGGTTATTTCGGCCCCCGTGTGCCACAGCCTGCAGTTAGGCCGTGAGACCAGCAGGTGGCAGTAGTGTCCAACTCAAAGGCCTCATCTAAGCTGCCATGTGCCTTGGCTCCATGGGAAAGTCCCCGAGATTGGTAACAAGGTGTTTTCCAGTTACCTATTAGTAACTAATGATTAACAAATAATAATGGCAGTAATAAAACACCAGATTAAACTGCTTAGATGCTGGGCGGGGGTGGTGCACGCTTTTCATCTCAGCACTCTGGAAACAGAGGCAGGCGGATCTCCGAGTTCAAGGTCAGCTTGGTCTTCATAAAGTGTTTCAGGCCAGCCAGAGCTACATAGTGAAACTCTGCCTCAAAAAAAATACTCATTCTGATTTGGTTTTGTTATATAATAACTTTGTTTTATTTTGATTGTTTGGTTTTGGGTTTTTTGAGGCTGTCCCCAGGCTGGCCTCCGACTCGTGAAGTCTGGGATGACCTTGAACTTCAGCTCTTCTTGCTCCCTCCCACCGAAGTGTTGGGATTACAGGGGTCCCCATGCCAGGCTGTGGTTAGTGTGTGGGAGGGTGTGTTTGGATGCCAGGGTTCATGTGTATGTCAAGGCCGGGGACAAGCTCAGGTGTCGCTCTCAGGCACCCACCTTTTGTATTGCAGAACTCAGCAGCTAGCTGCAGGGATCCTGACTGAGCTGTCTCGGTCCTATGTCAGTATTTTTGAAAGAAACAGTGTCAATTATTTCTAGAGGTCTACATTAGAGGAATGTTAAAAAAGAGAGACAAGGCCCAGTTGGCCCCTGGTCTTCAAAATCCATCCTCGGGTGGCTTCTCTCACGTTCTGCTTGTCCAAGCTGCAGCTTGAGGGTCAGCAGGAGGCCTGGAGCCCCGACGAGCTCTGTGTCCTACTCAGTCAACCCTGTACCAACCGGAAGTCTCTCCTGTGGTTAACAGCTGTTCCCAGGATCCCTGAGTAAAGGAGAAAAGCAGGCCCTGCTCTGTCCTTAGGCCTAAATTCGCCATTTGCTTCTTTTTCAGAAGTTTTTAGCTCTTCATGGCAAACAGTGAACTTCTCATTTTTAGTGTTTTATTGTTTGGTCTGTGCATGCAAGTGTGTGGAGTCAGAGGAAAGCCCCGCGGAGTCGGGCCAGCATGTGGGCTTCGGGGATAGGATTCAGGCCCCTAGCTTGGCAGGACCATCCTGTCAGCCTCGGAATCTCACCTGAAGAACTGGAGGTCAGGTCCTGTGATAGCCCTTTCAAACACTGTTTCTTGTAGCCCACATTTCCATCCAGTGAGGTAGGCTGTTAAGGATCTCGTCCTTTTATAGATGTGAAAATGGGCCCTTGAGAGCGCGCAGGCATGCGCATAGCCTGTTAGTGATAGAGCCCAGAGTCTAGACTTTCTAGACGAAGGTGGGTACTGGCTGGGGCTCCAATTACAAAGAACCTAAAATAGACTGTGGCCCTATATTTTGAATATTTGGAAGCAAAATAGAAATCTGTATTGTGTGAACTATAGCTCTCCATTGGCTTGTACCACTGCAAGATGTAGAATTTGTAGAATCCAGTATTTGTGATAGCATTGTTGAGCACCTGGAGCCTATAAATGCCTAAACGACCACTATTAAGATGGTAGATGGTAGTGTATTAATGAAATGTGAGATGTTTTGTAGCCATTAAAAAGAAGCAGTTGATGCTTTCCTCCAAGTTTTATTTATGTTTAAACTCCTTTGTGATTTTTGCATGCTCTGGTATTTGCAGGTCTCAGGTATAACACAGTGTTTAGTCTGCAGGACCTGTCCCCTGCACTGTAGACAGTCATGCCCTTCAGGAGTGGGACTCACAAACAGATCTCCTCATTTCGTGCTTGTTCTACTTTCGTTTTTAGTAATGAGTGTGCATTTATTTCATAAATAAGCACGTCTATTTGTATAGGTGTGTACCTATGAGCATGTATAGATACACATATACACACACATAAGAAGGAAAAGACACACGTGGTCCACTTGAGACTCTTCCCAAGGATCTCAGCAACCCCGTCTTCCGTCCTGAATAGCAAAGGTGTCGGAATTATCAAGGTTATTGTGCTGTTTTATACTAGAGTGTGAGCTCTCTCCGTCTCCTTCTCCCACCCATCCCCCACCGTGTGTGTGTGTGTGTGTGTGTGTGTGTGTGTGTGTGTGTGTGTGTGTGTATAAGAGATTGGGTGCTGGGGACCCACCCAGGGCCGGGTACCCACTACCTATGTGCTCACTAGCTGAGCTGTGCTCCTGCCCTTATGTTAATTTTTTGTTGCCCTGTGACATACAGCATTATGTCTTGCCTTTTATAAGCCAATAGTGACTTTATATTTAAAAATTAACAGTTTATACCACAGAATCCTGGGAAGTGTGACTCTGCCCCTTTGATCCTTCTGTCCACCTTCCTTTCTGAGTGAGTTACTTCTTGTCGCTGTTTAAAATTGAGATAGCCTTGAATAGTCCAGCTTTAGTGCCTCAGGAGGCTGGGCAGAAGCCAGGCCAGCCAGGGACACAGAGTGGAGCCTGCCTTAAGAGACAAAACAGGAAACAGGAAAGGAAACTCACTTAGATGCTGAGATAAGAGCAGGTGGGTGTGAGGCTGAAGGAAGATAGGGTTTCTTATCAGTGGTTTCATTATCACCAAAATACTAGGCCTGAAGGCAGGTAAGTGCTCTCCTCAGGTGCTCTCCCTGTGTCCTTAGACTGAGACTGGACGTGTCCCAGGTCTCCCAACCCCAGTCTGAGTTGCCCAGCATTCATCTTTAGCTCCCCTTGCCTCCGTCCTCTTGAGTACTTGAACTGTCCATGGCATGTCTTGCCTGCGTCCAGTGAGCATGCTTGCACTCAGATAACAACGGAGCAAGGCTGACGTGGACCCTGTGTTCCCAGACTCCTGTCTACCCGTGGACAGAATTGTTGTTGTTGTTGTTGTTGTTGAGATGGGGCTTCTCTGTGTCACCCTGGCTGTCCTGGAACTAGCTCTGTAGACCAGGCTGGCCTCTGATTCAGAGATCTATCTGCCTGCCTCCTGAGGTGCTGAGATCAAAGGTGTGCACCACCGCCGCCTGGCCATGGGCAGAATCTTGATCACGTGTTACAAGATGGCTGTTCTGCGTTATAAGCAGAGTACCCAGCCTGTCTGAAAGAGAAGATGGGGATTAGCTTTATCACTGCCCATGTGCCACCCACTGACTTCAGCGTCACCGCGTCTAACCCTTCCCACAGTCCCCGGTCACCCGCATGTCCTGATGAGGTCACAAGAGGTTGGAGCTGGAGGCCGAACTGTCTGGCTCAGCTGCGTGTGCCCTTCCACTTACTTTGGCTCTGGATTTGGCACTAACCGCTGCTGATAACAGCCAGAGATAGTGCTGGTAAGGTACCTAGCATGGTGCCTGGCACAGACTTAGGAAATGTTCCTCCCAGCAGCCTCACCCACCTCCATCACCTCTCACCCTCCTGCTGGAAGCGTAGCCACACCAATAACTTCTTCTCACCTGCTCTCTTTCCCAGGCCCTCGGACGGTGATCCACCCCAAAGCACGGATCATTGCGGAGGCCGGGCCGATAATCATCGGAGAGGGTAACCTGATCGAAGAGCAGGCCCTCATCATCAACGCGTGAGTAAGACGCACAGGTGCTCGGAACTGAGGCCATGGGAAACTTTCCAGTGTCAGCTGTGCAGGAGCCTTTTCCAGCTTAGCTCCAGAGAGCACACTCTTTCAGAGCTACAGAAGGGGTTAAGCCTCTTTCCAGCATAAGCACACAAGGAACCTAGAAGAAAAAAAAAACAAAACAGACCACTAAAAGACTGCCCAAGGTGAGAAAGCCGGAGCCCCCAGCCCCGGGTAGTGTCCATTGTGACACGTTTTCATCGGTCATCACCTGGAATGGTTTCTCAGCTCACCATCCAGTGCCCTCATGTTGTGGCTACCATGCTGAAGACGTTTTTGGTTGGATTTCTTTTGGTGGCCACGTGTGAATTGAACTGTTTTCCCCTGTTCCACATGGGACACCCAGAATCACATTCACAAAGTGTGGGATCCTTGTAGCAATTCATAAACTTTAAAGATAAAAATGTGATGTCAAACGATGTGTAATCTCTGTGAACTGGGCTGCAAGACCCAGTATATTTTCAAAAGTGTGTATAAATTTTTCTAGATAAAATTTTGGCAAGAAATTCACGCTCTTACCTAATTTGTAGCAACAATGTGTGGAATGTGTGTGGGAGAATGTTTAGCTGTGATAAAAGGGTGATTTATCTGACACTTAACACAGGTCATGTGGGAGTTTCTTATGGCGGGAAGGCTTTTCTCTCGCTCTCTTTTTCTTTTTTCCTTTTCAGTGTTAATGCTCTCTGTTTGGCAGCTTGGGTGTGAGTCCATCCCCAGCAACCTGTTCTGCAGAAGTCAGCTGTCAGATAAAGCCCTCCTCTTAGAGCAGAGGTTTATTTTCCACACATTTCACTAAATACCCCATCTCACAAAATAATTGTTCATGTGGCTATCTGTTTACAGTTTTAAATGGTTAGGATGAGTGGGAAATTTTCAAGTTAGACGTGACTTTGATTCTGCTTTAGCAGGCTAAACGTATAGTTAGCAAAGAATTTAAGAAATAAGGGAAGCCTCGAGAAATGACTCAGTAGTTAAGACCCCTTGCTGTTCTTGAGGAATACCTGAGTTTGATTCTCATCAGTCACATGGGGCAGCTCACATCCAACAGTGACTCCAGCTCCAGGGGATCCGATACCCTCTTTATTTGGGGGTAGGGGGCACAGGGTTTCCCCATAGCCCTGGCTGTCCTGGAACTCACAGAGATCCACGTCCCTCTACCTTCCAAGGGCCGAGGTTGGCCCCTCTTCTGAGGTCACTTTTCTGTCTGTGACTTCTTACATTTCTGTAGTTCTGTTCATCTCAGAACCTAGCCTTCCCTTCCCCAGCACAGAGAAGAGGTAATTCACCTGGCTCAGGAGCTAGATAGCTGTGGGTTTTAACCTTGAGGCAGGTAAAATTGAGACAGTTGATCCAAATTCTGCAGTGGGTGGCAGCTGTTGACTGTCACTGGCCTTTGCTGACTTGCCTGTTCTCTTTACAGTCATCCAGATAATATCATCCCAGACACTGAAGAGCCAGAACCCAAGCCTATGATCATTGGCACCAACAACGTGTTTGAAGTGGGCTGTCGTATCCTATGCATTGATCTGCTACAAGTCATCCCCAGATGATCCCTCCCCATGTAGAAACTGATACATCTTATCTCGCACATATATTTAAACTATATATAGCCTGGGCCATCAAGACTTTAAATAGACCCATTTGTAGTATGTTAAGAAATCTTTTTTGAGGGTTGGGGATTTAGCTCAGTGGTAGAGCGCTTGCCTAGCATGCGCAAGGCCCTGGGTTCGATCCTCAGCTCAAAAGAAAAAAAAAAAACTTTTCTAGGGGTTGGAGAGATGGCTCAGTGCTTAAGAGCACTGGCTGCTCTTTCAGAGGACCCGGGTTCAATTCCCAGCACCCCCATGGTAATTCACAACTGTCTGTAACTCCAGTTCCAGGGGATCTGACACCCTCACACAGCTACACATGCAGTCAAAACACCAGTGCACATCAAAGAAAAATAAATCATTAAAAAATGAAAAACAGAAATCTTTTCCAGGAAAGGGGCGAGGGAGGGAGACAGTGAGAGAGATAGATGTGTCTTTCTGGGATTGGGGCTGTGTGCAGAGCACATAGCTGGCATGTGTTTAATCCCTGTTACCACAGGAAACAAAGTCCCTCAGTAAGGTAAATACTGACCCTGACATGCACACTCACACACTTATGCACGCACAAGCACACATCTTAGCACTTTGAAAGTCACTTACTAGGCATGCTTGATGACAGGTAGCCGTGGTGAGGGGCATTAGACACTGAGAAGCTAAGTCTAGCTCCTGTCTGATGTACGAGCTGGCACAGTGACTCAGCCAGTAAAAGCACTTGCCACCAAGCCGGACCACCCGAGCTCAGTCCCTCGTCCCACATGGCTCAGGGAGAGAACTCCAGGCTGGACCACCCGAGCTCAGTCCCCGGTCCCACATGGCACAGGGAGAGAACTCCAGGCTGGACCACCCGAGCTCAGTCCCCGGTCCCACATGGCTCAGGGAGAGAACTGACTTCCTCAGTTTGTTCCCTGATCTAAACACATACACCTGGCACACATGGATGCTCAGGCACAAACGTACACATATATGCAGTACATAAGTCAATGTAATAAAATGCTTAAAGGCTTATGGATCATATGTTTATACCTGGAGGTATTTGTGTTTGAGAATTAAAGCTTTGCTATAGATTGGCTCTGACAAAGAATTCCGCAAGGCTGTGTCTGTGTGGCCCTTCTCACAGCTCTGTTCCCAGTACACTGTGAGGACATTCTGCATTCGTGGGAAAAAGCATTTCCTTAATTCAGGCTTTCAGATTCCCAAGCCATGAAAATAGGAGATAATAATGTCATTGAGTCAAAAGGTAAGCTGTGGCCAGAGTTTGACTGTCAAAGTAATTGCTTCCTTTCTCTTTGTTATGTCTGGGAAACGACCTGAGTTCAAGCAAGGCGGCATGCTTGGATTGGACCAGAGTCATTGCCAGATTCATTCTTTGCCTCAAAAGAACCTAACCTGGTTATGTGGTCATCTGATAAGGCGGCTAACTAACTACATTAAATGAAAAGGCCAGCTGCGGACAGTTAAGTAGGGCTGGATTAAAGCTCCATTGAAGACTGGAGAGGGTCTTCTCCAACTGTGTTGGCAGTGCTCGGTTGGATGAGCATTCTTGTAGAATGAAAGAGACAAATGGCCACTTCTCTAGGAATTGCTTTCTGTAATTTCAGGACTGCTTTACCCTAGCCAATCAGAGACAAATGTCATCTGCTTATCAAAATTAGAGCCAGGCAGGGGATTATGTGAGGTCCCCACCCTGCTGGGAACCAGGTCCCACAGCTTGTCCTGCGGTTCAGAGAGAACACTGCTTTGTCTTGACCCTGACTGACATGAAAGGGAATGCTGCTTGTCTGAAATAACAAAGTGTACTTTCCATTAATTTGCTTAATAGTTTTAGTTTTCATTACCAACATCACTGTCGTTGTTGGCCTCTCTGTATTTCTGAGAGTCGACGTGTGCTCAGCACTGTATGTTCATTACCTGTCGATCCTTAAAGGGAGCTGAGAAGGAGGTAGACTCCTGCTCCGAGATCTTACACTGACTTACAGTACCACACAGCCTGCTGGCAGGGACTCTAATAAATCCCCCTGCACTCACACACCACCTGCTTCTGTGCTGTCTGTGTGATCACTGGACCTAGGCATTGCCTTTCAGTTTCTTCTTAAGGCCTGTTTGCCTTTTTATACCTAAGATCATAAGGGAAAGTGTAAACAGTGAGGAATGTCAATACTCACTTGATGTCTTAAGCTGTGACTCTGTCCTCGCCGCAGCATACGTAGGCAGAAACGTCATCTTGACCAGCGGTTGCATCATCGGGGCTTGCTGCAACCTCAACACTTTTGAAGTCATTCCTGAGAACTCGGTGATCTACAGTGCGGACTGCCTGCGAAGGGTGCAGACGGAGCGGCCGCAGGTACTAGAACCTCTCTCTAAGAGGAGTTCGTCTAGGGCTACTAACTCTCCCCAAGTTCCATATGATTGTCTCAATGGGCAGCAAATAATTAGGGGCAGGGGTGTGACTCAGTGGTGTGATTAGCATGCAAGGCCTTGTTGGGTTCCATCCCCAAAGGCAAATGAGTAAAACATTAGAGAAACATTCCCCAAATTTGAATTTATTTGCAGTTCATTCATGATTCCTGAGATTAAAATCAAATATATAAAATCTCTCTGTGTGTGTGTATGAGAAAAGAGGATCTGGAATTGTTATTCTGATGTACCATTGACCCTCACACCAAAATATTAATTCTGATTCACTTCCAAAATACAAATCTTCAAGATGAGGAAATGACCCCACAAACATCACACTGGGTTTCTAACTTAGTTTATGAAAGAACAGTGGCTGGATTATAAACACAGCTTATGAATAAAGGAAGTATATTTAGCTATTTCCCAGGCTTACAAGAAATCATCCCCTCCTACTAACCCAAATCAAGACTAATGCTCAAACGGGAGATGAAAGGCTCAGGCCTTTGGGCGTCCCTTAGACACGAGACATTCAGACTACAGTTTTAAAGCTCCTGTCTTGGCATGCTCAGTATAGATTTCTGGAGCTTCCTTTTCCTCCCCCCAAAGAAAATATTTTCAAGACATTTGATACTTGACCTTTCTTAACCATATTTTTAATCATAAATTAAAACCAGTTCTTTCTAGATTATTCTACTTTTCCATTCTCAGAGTTTAATATAGCTCCTGCCAGTCTGGAACTTACAGCCACGGATGACCCTGAACGTGTGTCCTTCTGACTCCAACTCCCTAGGGCTGGGTTACTGGCGTTCACCAACACTGTGCCTGCTTTGTGTGGTGCTAAGAACAAACCCAGGGGTTCCTGCATGCTAAGCCAGCCGCAGGCCACTGACTGGGCGGCCTCCTCGCCCCCATGGCTTACTCTGCTCCTGTAGTCTTGGCATTGTTATTATTATGAGCTGGTGTTCCATAGGCAAAAGGGGAAATTTAAGTTTTTAGATTCCTTTTTTGTGTAATAGCAAAAGTGCGTAAAGGAAGAGAGATAAAGGCAGAATTGGAGAAAGGCGATCAGAAGGACTTGAGCGAGAGCGTCAGAAGTCTAATGTCAGAGATGTACAACCGTCTCCCAGACGTCACCAACCGTAGCAAGACGATCACACGGTGGTCCTTACTAAGACAGGTTCCTCAGACGCTGTGACGCAGTGTCTAGGGTGGAATCCCTGCTTTTCACAAGTCCCTCAAGAGCGTTGACAGTCAGGAGATGGACAGTGCTGGCCCACGGAAGTAAAGCTCAGCCTAGGACATCACAGGGTGTATGAGAAGCACTCCTACTGCTTAGAAGCCAGATAAAAATCTATAAACAGAAATGCAAAAATGTTTTCCTGTATGTTTTTATATGTGAAATTGTTTGGCTTTATGGCATTACCATTGCAGATTTAAGACAGCAAACGGGTAGAAAAATAGGTCAGTGAAATCATGTTGAACTCCGTGAACTCGAAACAGTTCCACCTCTAGTGTTGACCTTGCTTTCTGCCATCTTCCGTCTGTCTCTGCAGCCCCAGACACTGCAGCTGGATTTCTTGATGAAAATCTTGCCCAATTACCACCACCTAAAGAAGACAACAAAGGGAGCCTCGACTCCGGTTAAGAATTGAGCAGTTGTCGAAGTAGTGATCGGTCTCTGCTGGCTTTTGAAAGGACCGGGGTTTAACGTCACATTGACTTCCTGTTGGAAACTTGAGTTATGGAGAGCTGGGTCCCACTGTAACTACCTTTAGAAGTTATGTGGAGTGTATTGTTTCCTGTCCTTGTTGTGCTAATTTATAGACTCAGTTTTTCTTTTGTGATACAAAATATTAGCCTTCCATGTATTATGTAAAGACCATCCATGATGACATGTCATGTTATGTGTTTATATGCTAATGTAACCATAACTAAATAAAAGTTTGCATTAATCTTCCCAAATAGCTGTCTCAACTTTTATTAATAATAATTATGATACATCCAAGCTGAGAGTCTTCCCTTTACCTCCTGTGTACTTATAGCTGTTTAAAAATGGAGGAGGGCCTGGAGAATGGTTCAGTGGTTAAGAGTACTGGCTGCTCTTCCAGAGGAGCCGGGTGTGATTCCCAGCACCCACATGGTGGCTCACAACCACCTGTAGCTCCAATTCCAGGGGATCTAATACCCTCTTCTAACCTCTAAGAACACCAGGTGTACAAGTGGGGTACATACATACATGTAGGCAAAACACACACATAAAAGGTGAATAAATCTAATCAAATTGTAATACACGTGGGGGCTGGAAGATGGTTCCCAGGGGCTGGACTCACATCTGAAGATGCAGCTGAGACTCCAGCAGCACCTGAGTGTAAGGCCTCACTCTGCTTTAAATGACTCTAGATCTGTATGTTTCTTCTCTCAGTAAGTAGTCAGGAAGAGAAGCCTTAAGTACATTCAGGATTCATCTCTGGTTAAAATGGCAAGCACATGACCACTTAGCTTAGTGTATTCCCGAGTTTCTGAAGATAGTAAAACTAAGGTTGGGTCTGGAGGGAGGCTCAGTGTGTAGAAGCTACAGGCACTTGGCACCAAGTCTGGTGACCTGAGTTCCATCCCCAGAACTCACACAGGAGGGGAGAACTGACTCCCACAAGCTGTCCACTCTGATCTCCACAGATGTGCACACACAGACACAGGAAATAAATGTAGAGAGATAAGTACTAAAATATTTTGACATGCTTATGAAGTTATTTTGACAGTGGTACTGATCACTGACTAGTAAGTATGCATAAGGTTGCTTATCTAATTATGTGGAGGGTGAAAACTTAAGGACTATGGATTGAACCAAAGACCTCATACGTGTTGAGCACACATTCTACCCCTGAGCCACACCTACAGCCTCTCATATCTTAATAATTCAATACAGTAGTAAATAAAATTAATAGAACATAACTTTTCAGCTTGTGAATGACATTAATACCAAGATACTAAGTTACAAGATTAATGCCAGGGAGTGGTGGCACACACCTTTAATCCCAGCATTCAGGAGGCAGAAGCAAGTGGATCTCTTATGAGTTCAAGGCCGGCCAGAGCTTCACAGAGAAACCCTGTCTCAAAAAAACAAAAACGAAAAATAGGCAAACAAAAAGATTAATACTAAGATGGTAAAATACTAAGATACTGTCTTGATACTTCATTTTCACGTGACTAGGGCCTAGAACTGAGTGTTTACGTTTCTGAAACTGGTGAGATTTGATTTTGGTAAGAATATCCATGACTCGGACAGGGGCGCTCAGCTGTAGCAGGCTGAACGGGGCCGTGGGGACAAGAAAACATGGCGCTGATTCTGTGTTAGGTAACCGTCATTCCCTTTTCAACGCCTGACGGTGAAGTCAGAATTCTGTTGGCCATGGAAATTCAATAGACCATCAGAAATTACAGAGCTGAGCCGGGGGCTGGTGGTGCAGCCTGTAACCTCAGCTGTTCTGGAGGCTGAGTGGGACGATGGAAAGTTCAAGGTCTGCCAGGGCAGATCTTATGAGTTCTAACCAACCTGGTCACCTTAGCGAGACCTTGTCTCAAGAGAGTAAAACCAGAGCTGAAGCTGTAGCTTGCAGGTAGAGTCCTCGCTTAAGGCGTGAAGTGCAGGTTTCCAAGCCCGCTGCTTGTGAAAAGTACTACCTGGGAAACCCTACACTGGCTCTAAAAGGCTCTTGGACAGGTTCTGCTGTGCCGCAGAATGGTTAGCAACAGTGAGAGCAGACACAGCCTAAGGACTTCAGCTTAATGAATTCACGCGTAGTAAAGACTGGGGTGTAACGCTGCCTAGCATGCATAAGGCCCTGGACTCCATCAAGCTCCTTGGGAAATGTGCTGAGAAGACCCTGGGTACTTCTGAAGCCTCCTGTAGGTTATGAAGGAATAGTAACTCATTTATGAGTTATGAGAAAATGTGAACAGAAACAATCTACCAAAAATAGATTTTAGAGAACCTGAATGTTACTGTGAATATAGTGCTATCCAGGAAAAGAGGTCTCGAATGCAGGAGCTCTAAGTCAGTCTGTAACTAGAGTTCTCTCGTTTCAACAGGACCAGCTGTGGCTTGAGAGAAGGAAATGTAGACCCCCCCCCTTTTTTTTTTTTTTTTGTAAAGCATTAATTGCAGGCTTAACTGGACCACCTTCTAGTTTCAGGTGCAAACTGTGAACTTCATTTCAGGCAAAGGAGCTCTGGCCGGGAGTAGAATCCAGTCCGCACATTAGATTGTCGGAGGAGTTCTCTGGCTTCTACATTTATCTTGTGTGAATTCAGTTTCCGTGGAGTCGCCCTTGGGCCTTTGAGTTTCCCAGTCTCTGAATATTCTGGTGAAGAACCAAAGCTCAGACACTCTGCTGCTCTCTCCCTGTCTGTAGCTAGGCTACCAGCCTTCCTGTGGCGTGCTCCCACTGACCCTGCGTCACGACACTTTAGTACTAGACAGTAAGCTCCATGGTAGAATACGCCGACCAACATACCCTGGCTGTGGTAGCCACCAGACAAGGAAGAAAGAAACGTTCTTTCCCTGCATCCTGATGCAGTTGGCACTAGCTCTTGAGTCGGGGATGGATTTTGCCAGTTGAAATGTCAAGTCTGGGAAATACTTACATTGCATATCATATGTACACTGTACAGTTGCCTGTGCTCTGTGGTAAATCGCCCCAAAACAGCAGCTTCCAACAGCACGGGTGTTGTTACTGCACAGTTTCGGAGGAGCCAGAATCTGGGTGGCTAGGCTGGGTTTGGCCTCTGTCAGGAGCCACAGCTACGCTCATCAGAAGATGAGTGAGAGGCTGTAGGAACTGCTTCAGGAGGTCATGGTCCTGGTCGTCAACAGGAAGCCTCAGTTCATTACCACGTTAGACCACTCGAGTGTCCTCATGACACAGAGACTGGCTTCCTTTAAAACTGACCCAGAATCTGTCTGAAGGTCTCCATGCTGTAGGGAAGATGAGTTTGGAAAGCAGCCCGCTTATTAAATGTCATGGCTCAGGACACGGTCAAGACCTTCTGTCTTAACCATCCTGACGCCCTATCATAGGGTATTTTCTAACAGAAAGCCTGCAGCGTTTCCCTCTACTACCAACTAAGTGTCCTGATTCCATTTGCTTCTGACACTGTCTGGAACTGGCCCAGACCCTCCAGACCGAAGACGGTCTCTATCTTGTTTGCTAGCTGCAAGTGGACAAAACTGTCCACACTGCTGCCCAGTGAAGTAGAAAATATGGAGTTCCTACGACCACCCCTCTGGGTTTAATAATTATCTAAAATGACTCACGGGACCCAGGAGAGGTATACTGGCTAGTTTTATGTCAACTTAGCATAAGCTAGAGTTGTTTGAAAGGAGGGAACCTCTGTAGATGTAATTCTGAACGGTCTTATTAAATAAGAAACACAGAGCCAAATATAGAGTTAAAAGCCCAGAGATCAAGCAGTAGCCAAGAGCTAAGACCACATTATCTTACCACTCGCTGCTGTCCTTCCCCTGAGAGAGAGACCTTCTTCCTGTGTCCTGTCTTTTTATTGCCTTTCTGTTCTGCCTTCTCATTGGTTCTAAACCCAACCACATGACTTCCTTGTCACTGCCTGTCTATACAGACCTCCAGGTCTCCATGGTTCATACTGAGATTAAAGGTTCGGGTCATGCTTGGCCCTGTCCTTGAACACACAGACTCTGACTGCCATGTGATTGGATTAAGAGCGTGTGCCACCACCGCCTGACTTCTGCTAAATGGCTCACTCTTAGCTCTGATCTCCAGGCAACTTTATTAACATACAAATAAAATCACATTTCAGCACAAATAAAAATATCACCATAAACCTCAATTGAGAAAATGCCTCCATAAGATCCTGTTGTAAGGCATTTTTTAAATTAGTGATCAATCAGGGAGGACCGTGCCTGTTGTGGGTGATGCCATCCCTGTGCTGGTTGGTGGTCCTGGGTTCTAGAAGAAAGGTTAAGCAAGCCAGTAAGCAGCACCCATCCATGACCTCCACATCAGCACCTACCTCCAGGTTCCTGCCCCGTTAATCAATTTGGAAGTACAAGCCAAGTAAACCCTTTCCTCCCCAAGTCACTTTTGGTCACGGCATTTCATCATAGCAACTAGACAAGAGTTAGCCTCACTGTTCCAGACCCACTGTAGAAGGTGCAACTTGGGATAGCAGAGTGGCAGGGGTGAGCGAGGTAAGAGGTGGAGTGGGGATGGCATGGGGCTTCATTTCCTTGGGGCATCATTCTCCCTGCATGGCAGTGTGTTGTCAACTGGAAGCTCAGTGAATGTCACCTGAGAGGTGGCATTCCACTCTCCAGCTCCTCTACTCTCCTTGAAGTTTGTGGGGTGGAGCTGAAGCATCATTCTCAGCTCCTGGTCTCAGCGTCCGTGAGATGGTAAGTTCCAGAAGTTTGTGGAACTCAACAGCAGGAACCAAGGCAAAGACCAAATATTTTTGCCTCACCGTTTAGAAATGCCCCTAAATATAACATAAATCTCATCAGGCATCAGTTTAACTTGTCTAGGTTTAATATGAATGATTATTAACAAAGCCTTGAAGGATAATATTCAGTGTGAGAACACTGAAAGTACTAAACGATTCCTAACAGTAATAAACACATTTAGTCAACTCCAGCTTTAAAAAATTGTGTTTATTACACTTGCATGGAGGAGCCAGAGAAATGGTTCAGCAGGTAAGAAAGTGAAGTGCCCTTCTAGAGGACTGAATCCGGTTCCCAGGACCCATGTCAGGAAGCTCCCAACCACCTCTAACTTTAACTCAAGGAGGATCTGGTGCCTCTAGCTTCCAATGGTGCCTGCACTCCTGGGCACACTCCCTGCCTCCTCTATACACATAATTAAAAATAATAAAAATAATCTTTGCTGGGCATGGTGGCACACACCTTTAATTCCAGCACTGGGGAGACAGAG